TTTCTTGGATTGTTTTGACTTTGTGTTCTACTCTGCTGGTAAGGTTTTTTTGTTTTGTTTTGTTTTTGTACCAGAGATTGAACTCAGGGTGCTTAAACACTGAGCCACGTCCTCAGCCCTCTTTTTGTATTTTATTTAGAGAAAGCTTCTCACTGAATTGCTTAGGGTCTGGCACAGTTGCTGAAGCTGGCTTTGAACTCCCCATCCTCCTTCCTCAGCCTCCTAAACCGCTGGGATTACAGGCTGTCACTGCACCTGGCAGTAAATTTCTTTGTTCTACTTTATATACTTTTATTAATTAGAACCACAAGTTTCTTCCCCCCCCCCTTTTTTTCCTTTTCAAAACTTGTCCTGGCTACACTTGTGTTTTTATTTTTACAGATGAACTTCAGAATCAAGTTCCAAAAGAAAAGAAAAATCCAAACCCAAACAACAACAAAAAACTGTATTGGAGCCATGCGCATTTGTGCAAGCCTGTAAACCCAGCAGTTTGGGAGGCTGAGAAAGGAGGATTGCAAGTTCAAAGCCAGCCTCTGCAATCAAGAGGTGCTGAGCAACTCAGTGAGACCCTGTCTCTAAATAAAATACAAAATAGGGCTGGGGGGTGACTCAGTGGTTGAGTGACCCTGAGTTCAATCCCCAGTACCAAAACAAAACAAAAGAAACTGTATTGGGATTGTTTTCTAATATCATTTTGCTTTAATGAAATACTGAGTTAGTCTGACAAAATGATGAAGACTCTGGATGAAAGTGTCTAATCATAAGGATGAAAATTAAATTTATGTCAAATTGACATCAAAGAGCTTAAAAATAATTGTATCTAAAACTTATTTTGTTCCTTTTTCCTAGCTTTGAGTAGAAGCTTTCCACTTACTATATATCATTAGGCAATCACTTAATTTCAATGAGTTTGATTCCTTATTATTTTTCCGTATTAGATACCCTCCAACTTGCACATTCTATAATTCTGTGAAACATATGAAGAACGATGGAATAAAATGATTGTGTTGAGCTGTGAGAAGAAAACAAACATACTTTTTTTTTTCTTCTCTACTGTAAGGGTTTGAACCTAGGAACACTCTACCACTGAGCTATATCCCCAGCCCTTTTTATTTTTTATTTTGAGACAAGTTCTCGATAAATTGCCCAAGCTGGCCTCTGACATGAGCTCCATCTGCCTTAGTCTCCTAAGTAGCTGGGATTACAGATGTAGACCACCAAAACTTCATATTCTTAATGAATGGCTTTAAGGGTGCAAGAATTGCTTCAATTAATAGAAATTAACCATACATAAATATTTTTAAACAAAGAGGTTATATAATGAGTGTTCAATAGGTATTATTAGTGTTTATCTACCAAATCCTGTGTTTAGGGAGCTAAAATAAACAGAAGAGTGATTTAGCATGCTATAATGGAAAAGAAAAATGTTAAAAAATCAAACTGACACATAATTCCTTACTCCTTGATTTCCAAATATATTTGAGCCCTTGATTTTTGAGTCTGTAAAGGAGATCAGAAAATCCACTTTGAAATATTTGTGAGGATTAATTTATGTGAAATGGTGAATGAATTCTTGGCACATAGTAGGCAATGAATACCTGATAATTACCTTCATTTCCCCTTCCTTTCTCCATAGCTTTAAGTACTTCATTATTTGAGGGAGCAAAAAATGATACACTACTTAAAGATTTTATTTGTGATTAAATTAACTTACCAAGTATTCTATAATAGTAACACAGAACCCAATCGTGTCCTTTGTGCCAGTATTATTGAAAACAATGATCAAAATATACAGAGAATAAGTGTAAATTGAAAGGTTTTTATTGCCCAGACTGGTTTGGAACTTTCGACCCTCTTGCTTCAGCCACCTGAGTGGCTGGGATTACAGATGTGTGTCACCAAGCCTAGTGAAAAATGATTACTTAACCAAAAGTATGAGAAAAGTAGGAACTTTAAAATCACATACAGAAGTAATGGCTTTTGAAGGTAAGTTGTGCTTATCTTACCTGAGACTTGGAGCTAAAACATTGAGATAAATTTCAAACATTATTTCAAGATAGATTGTAATTTTGCATCCTCGTAAATGATATATTAAATATGTAAAAAAATTCTTTCTTAGAGATCTTGAAATATGACTTCATGTCCCAGAGGACATGAGTTTGCTTATTTAGTCTATATGGAGAAGTTCACATGAAGTGTTCACTACAGTTATAATTGTTACTCTCTAATGACTTAAATATTCTGTTTTACCATACCAGTTCATCTGAAAAATTGTAAAAATGAACAGATTTCAATGATCTTCATTAACTCAATCAAGTAGTGAATAATTAGTGGAGGAGTCCCATGAGGTATAGTCTCATCCTTGATCCTAATAACTATGTGCCATTTTATAGATGTTGTGGTTGTTTTTCCTTTTGTTTAACTAATCTTGGTGACCAAAAAATTGTATAACTATATCCTTGAATCTGTAGATTCTTTTTTTTAAATGCTAATCATATATTCTACTTTTTTTTACCCTTTATTTTATTTATTTATTTTATGTGGTGCTGAGGATCAAACCCAGCACCTAGCTTGTGCTAGGTGAGCGCTCTACCACAGAGCCACAACCCCAGCCCATGTGGATTCTTTTGAGTGTGAAGAGTACCTTTCTACTCTGCTACCTAGAAATTGGAATCATAGATCTTCACAGGGGTGGAAGGACAATTTCATGGGGTTCACCTGGGAACTTCTTAGAACTATAAGTTAAGCAGACTAAAAGAATTTGAGACTCTGGTAGTGGGGCCCAGCAATCTTGTTTTGCAAGATTTCCAAGTGATTCCAATTCTAAATTTTAAGACCTTTTGATCTGCATTTAACCCTTTGATTTTTAGATAAGGAATCTAATTCTAAGAGGTTGTCACAAATTAATTAGAGAAAGCACTGGAATCTTCCCTTGCTAGTCCCTAGGATGATGAATCTTCTTGCAGGGAAATCTGTTTATTGAGCTAATTGGTAAGCAGTATTTGAAAGAATGTGAGGTGGGGAAAAGTCTTGTAGGGAAGGTGTCTATCTACATATTACTTACCCTGTAGGCTTCTTAAAAGTTTAAGAACAGTTTTTTTGAGGATATTTAGTCTGAAAGGAGTTTGCTTGATCTAATATTTGTTTTATTAATTTGATTACTGAATGTGGGTCTTATTCCCTGAAGAAAGTTTATGTGCCATTCATATAACTGTCTCATTACTACTCTCGATCAAATGACTATGTTGAATGTGATTGTGATGCTGCAGCTTTTTAAAAAAATTTTTTTGGTGTATGTGTGTGCTGGGGATGGATTGAACCCAGAGCCTTTAGCAAGCTAAACACAAGTGCTATCACTGAGCTACACACACCCAAATTCCAGCTTTCATTTGTTTTATTTTAAAATTATTTTCATTGGAAGCATTCCTCATTTATATACATTAGAGATTTACATTTCAGAAAGAAATGCTGCTTCTTTTTTTTTCATGTTTCCCAGCTTTCATTTTTAACAAGCTCCCCATATTTATGTTAGAGAACAATTACACTAATTTAGAAGTCGTTTAAAATGGTTAAGAATAAAACATTTTTTTTTGAGAGAGAGAGAGAGAGAGAGAGAGAGAGAGAGAGAGAGAGAGAGAATTTTTTAATATTTATTTTTTAGTTTTCGGTGGACACATCTTTATTTTTATGTGGTGCTGAGGATCCAACCCAGCGCCCCGCGCATGCCAGCGAGCACTTTACCGCTTGAGCCACATCCCCAGCCCTAGATCAACATTTTTTAATATTCTTATTTATAGTTCCACAATGAAATTAAACATTTTGCTAAATATACATATCATGTAGCCAACATTGCTCCAGAAATTGGTTATGGCATAGTACTAAAATGATTTTTTGGGGAAGTATAATAAAGTTTCATCATCTGAAGAGAGAGTGAGAGAAAGAAAAATCATTGTAGAAAGCCAAGAGATCACAAGAGTAAGAGGTTAAAACAATGGATCCTGTTGTAAACCACTGTCTAAGATAATACAGCCCTGGACTCCTTACAATACAAGTAAAGATCATAGCTCCATTATCTCAGCAGTTTTCAGGAGTTTTTGTTTTTCAAGATTATACTGTACGGGGAGTAGTCAGATTAAGGAAAAAAAGATGTAATAACCGGGGAATAAAAACAGCTAATACCGCTTCAGAATCAGAGTTATCAACCCTACCTTGACTTAACGTTCTCAACGTACTTAAACATCTGACAAGGTGTATTTATTTTATCCATATAACAACTCTGTGAAAAAAGAAAATTCGCAGCAGCAAAAACGTTTTCAAAATTTACTGATTCTACGAAAGAGTGAGATTGACAGAACCAGAGAAATAACAGCAAAGGCTATCAGTGAGAAAAGGCACACAGCGAGGACAAGCACAAAAAGCCCGGCCTAGGAGACAGGCAACCGGGCAGGGGGAGAAAGCTTTAGTGGGTAAATGAGTGCAAGTGCGGGAGTAGTGTGTTTGGGATTAGGAAACTGCAATTTACTCTGTAACGAAGGGGATGAGGTCCAAGATGAATGGGAAAATAGGTGGTGCTTCAAGCTGCAGGGAAGTTAAGTGGCTCCTTCTGATGAGGTGTGATCCTTTACTGAGGTTGGACTCAAGGATCGGGGCTGTTTTCCTACCGCCTCCAGTCGGGAACGCAGAGGCCTCGAGGGGTCGCTCTAGGCGTTGACCCCCTCTCGGGTTCCAACGCTGGGTGAGGAGGGCGCGGGCAGGGAGCCAAGGAGAAGGGAAGCGCGTTCCCGCCAATGTAACAAAGGCCGCTGGGGGACTTCCCGAGCCGCGCAACCTGAGCGGGGCCGAAGGGTTAACCGCGCGCCCCGCTCCCGCGCGCATCCCGGCCCCCGCCCCGCCGCGCCGTCGCTAGGAGACGCCGGAAGTGGGGGAGGGGCGGGCGGCGCGGGCGAGGGTGGGAATCTTTTTCGGGCGCTCAGAGGCGGAGGGAGGGGAGCGCGCGTGCGCGCGCCCGTCCGTCCGTCGCTGCGGTGACCGTCCTCACAGTCCGTCGGCTCGCGCTCCGCCTCCGTCCCCACCGCCCCCTCCCCTGTCGCGCGCTGGGGGTGTTTCTCGCTCCTCCCGAGTTACAGCCGCGGTTGCCGCTGCTCCTCCTCTCCCAGTCTTGGGTTTCCCTGGCCCCGCCGCCGCAGCTACCTCTGCGGGCTGTATGAGGAGGAGGAGGAGGAGGATGTGAAGATGGCGGAGCTGCAGATGCTGCTGGAAGAGGAAATCCCGGGGGGCCGCCGGGCCCTCTTCGACAGTTACACGAATCTGGAACGGGTGGCCGACTACTGCGAGAACAACTACATCCAGGTGCGATGCATTCCCCGGCTTGGGCGCGTCGGGTCTGGGGACGGTGAGGGGCGCGTGGGGGACCCGAGAGCCGGGGAGGGCGCGCGGGGCCGAGGCCGCCGCGGGGACTCGGCCGGACCGAGCCCCGGTGGGGGGCAGGGAGCAGGGTGAGGGCTGCGGCTGGTGAATGGGTGGAAGGCTCTGACCGGAGGAAATTCTATCTTTAAAACCTCTAAAAAATCGGCGAGCCGGTTCTCGGTGCGGTGTGCGTCGCGTCCCGCCTCTTCGCTGCTTCTGCCCTCGGCTGCCCCCGCACTCCTGGCCTGTCAATGTTCGGGGTGGCGGAGGAGGCGGAGAGTGGCATTTTCTATCTAACGGAATCCTACTTAGATGGTGGTTGTGGGGTGTGTGTGTGTGAGAGGGGGGGGGGAGAGCTACACTGAGGAATTGCTCCCTCGCCCCCAAATTCTGGAGGATATTTAAGGGGCTGTTACTGCAAAGTGAAGTGCCTCATCTTTTTTTTTTTAAGGTAGTTAAAGTAGAAGAGCAATTGTCTCTTGATGGAAGTTAATTTCATTTCTCTCCCTATGGGGAATGGGAAGCTACATAATGAGCTGTCCCTTTCCCCGTCCCGTTAGAATAGATAATTTTCTTGAGGGAAAAAAAAGAACTGTGACACACACATTTTCTATAGAGAAAAATGAACCTCATGGTTTAATCCCCCCCATGGTTGGTTTGGCACTGGGAGTCAGCAGTAGCATCTCGTGTGTGTGTGTGTGTGTGTGTGTGTGTGTGTGTGTGTGTGTGTGTGTGTGTGTGTGTAGGCGGAGAATATTGGTGAGATGAGATCCAGCTGGTCTTGGATGAAGCAAAAGATTTTGTAGATTAAAAAAATCCTTCCTTATTAATTATTTGAAAGAATAGTAGTTTACTACGCACAATTTTGCAAATCATTTGTTTTCCTTATGGCTTAGTCTGACTTACAGATTCTGTTTCCATTTTTTTTCTTTCCCATTTAAATTCTCTAGAGATAAAGGTGGAGATGGAAGCAGTATGTTAAACTGTTTCTTCATAGTCCCCTCCCCCCCATGCTCTCATTCTCATTTCTGCAGGCATCCTTGTTAACATTCTCTATATTACAAAGCATTCGTAAATCTTAGTATAAATAGAAAAAAATAGGTGTTACAGTTTATAGGTTCATGGCTTTTATGAGGACCACATGTTTAATCAAAATGAGATTTTACTTATTAATTAGACATGTACTGAACTCTGTATTATCTTGTAGGGAATATTTGTATTCTAGAATGAAGTAGACATAATCCAACCCTTTCCCTCCAAAGCAGTTGAAAGTATGTCCAATAGGAAAAGAATGTGTCTTGGGTCAAAGCCTCATACAAAAAAAAAAAAATACAAATGTCCATATTTGTAGAGTGTTTTGCTAATACTGAGTGGTATAGGAAAGATTCAAAGGTTCATTTGCTCAATTTTTCACTAAATGTAGTTGGAAGTCTTTATGTCACATAGTTGTGTCAAGGGTTGATGGTACACATTTAGTGTCTTCAAGGTTTTATTAGTGTAGTTAGTAGGAAAGGCTGATCTGTGAGCAGATTAATACCATATACAGTCAGTGCTCCCCATCAGAGGGTTGGTGAATTCAGTCAAATGTGATGGAAAATATGTGAAGAAAAAATTGTCTCTAGTAAACAAGTTAGGCCTTTTCTTATCTTTATTCCCTTAGTGATACAGTATAACAACTATTCACATAGCTTTTTACATTGTATTAGATAAGTAATCTAGAGTGATATAAAGTATGTAGGAGAATGTGTGGTTACTTGTAAATATTATGCCATTTTATACAAGGGACTTGAGTTTCTAAAGATGTTGGTATTTGTGGGGGTCTTAGAACCAATTTGTGGTGCAATCTGAGGGGCAATGCAGGTGTGGTTAATATATACTCTGTAGTGTACTATGGGTGGGAAGGAAGACTCTGGGCAGCTGTTCTATCCTCAGGGAATTCATGGTCTCTGGAAGAGGCAAAACCAGAAGGACTAAAGTGCTTAATTCCATTGCCTTATGCAGCTTATTATGGGAAAAGTTGTGGGTCAGAAGAAAAATTGAGGGTGGAAAAGTGATTGGATTGTAGTTGTTACCAATAAATAATAAAAAAGAAACAGATCTATCTGCCTTCAAGATAAATTTTATTATAATTAGGAGGGTTAGTTCATTTTAGATGAATTACGTGAACTTAGATTTTACATGAAGGTAAAAGTACTTGGGTTGATAAAACTGAGAGGCTGAAGGGATCAACAGTTGTTTTTCTGGTATTTTATACATTTATTTTCCCCTCAAAAAGAAGAGTGTTACTGCTACCAGTTTCTAGCAATTGGAGTCAAAATTTAGTGTGTTGGTATTTTATTTATTTTTTATTTTGGTACTGGGCCTTTGCACATGCTTTGCATGCACTTTACTGGTGAACTACATCCCTAGCCCAATATATGTTGGTGTTTTAGTCAGCTTTTTTGCTGCTATGACTAAAGGATCTAAAGGATCTGATCAGAACAACTGTAGAGGGGGAAAAGTTTATTTGAGGATCAGTTTCAGAGATCTTAGTCCATAGAAGACTGCCTGGCTTCATTTCTTGGGAGATGAATATCATGGCAGAGTGTGTGATAGAGAGAAGCAGCTTACATCATGGTGATCAAGAAGCAGAGAGACTCTACTTTCCAGATACAAATATATACATCAAAGCCACACCCTAATTCCCACCTCCTCTAGCCACACCCTACCACTTCAGTTACCACTCAGTTAATCCCTATCCTAGGATAAAAATCACTGTTTGGGTTAAGACTCTTACAAACCATTCATTTCTCCTCAGAACCATCTTGCATTGTCTTCAAATGTGAGCTTTTGGGGGACACCTCACATCCAAACTGTAACAGTTTGACTTAATAAAATAGTGTTTAGTTTTACATTATTTCTTCAATTTAGCATCTGAAACAGATTTTTTTGCTTTATTAGTTTATTTTAGGTACTAGAGATTGAACTCGGGGGCATTCTGCCACTGACCTACATCCTCAGTGTGAGTGTGTGTGTGTGTGTGTGTGTGTGTGTGTGTGTGTACGCCTTAGCATCCTGAGTTGCTGGGATTATAAGTATGGGCCACCATAACTGGCTAGATTTCATACTTTTCCTTTCTTAGATTATTTTCTGTTTTAGGATCCAGTGGGTATATTTTTTTGTCCTCAGGATGATAGCTCTTACATAATTTATTTGTAGTAAAATTGATAAATAGAACATGGTAATAGTGAATTTGTGCTGATCCAGCTGTACATTTGGCTTGCTTTTCTTTGTGACTAAAGAACTGGTGAGCAGTAGTTTTGATGCTGTCATCCTGCAATAGATGAAGTTAGTTGACTAGGATCAGGGAGCAAATGATATATTTAGCTTTATTATGGTCTGAAGTCAGTGGTTTTAGCCACTGTCTTGGGTTAAACTAAATTAACACTCATTTTATTGTACTGAATTTATTTATTTTTATTTTTTTATTTTTATTTTTTTTGCCTATGAAGCGGATAAAAGAGAACTCTCATTATCATATGTAATGAAAAAATTTTTTTTTGTACCAAGGATTGGATCCAGGGAGTCTTAACTACTGAGCCACATCCCAAACCCTTTTTATTTTTTTATGGGGTCTTGCTGAGTTGCTTAGGACCTCAGTAAGTTCCTGAGGCTGGCTCCTTTTCAGCCTCCCGAGTTGCTAGAATTATAGGCATATGCCGCTGTATCTGCTGTAATAAGCGTTTTTATGCAGTGTTAGGTAACTGGTACTATGCCTAGAAATAGTTTAAAAATGACATAAATAAGATTATTCTAAGTGTGGATTTTTATTTAGTGTAAAATTTGAGATATATTTAAGATGTGTATTTCTTTTCTTCATTTATTATTATAAACATTGAATATCCCCATTCTTTTAGAAACTGCAGGAATGAAACAATTTTGATTAACTTGGAATGTACATTTTTAGGATTTTATCACTTGAATGTTTTAATTAAGTTTATTTTAACTTTGCTAAAGTAAATCTGAAAAAACCAACTTGTTCACATTTACATTTTTTCTTTTCTTTTTTTTAGATAAAAGAAATTGCTGAGCCTAGGGATATAGCTTAGCACTCCCCTAGCACATGTGAGGCCCTTATTACTGACAAAAAAAAAAAAAGAAAGAAAGAAAGAAAAAAGGACAGAAAAAGTTTTCTTATGAATAGTTCATGTAGATACATAGTAAAATCCCATTGTCTCTTGTTTAAGAGCAGAATCACCCATAACATGAATTAACTAAGAACAAAAATTAAAAATTTACCTTTGGGGTGGGGGTGTGGCTCAAGCTGTGGCGCGCTAGCCTGGCATGCGTGCGGCCTGGCATGCGTGCGGCCCAGGTTCGATCCTCAGCACCACATACCAACAAAGATGTTGTGTCCGCCGAGAACTAAAATAAAACATATATATATTAAAAAAAATTCTCTCTCTCTCTCTCTCTCTCTCTCCTCTCTCTTTAAAAAAAAAATTTACCTTAAATTTTATCTGAAATACTTTTGAACAATAGACAATATTAGTAGTAACTTTTTTTTTTAATCAACATGGATACTCCCAGAATTAATTGGAAATGTCATGAAAAGTTTATAAAGGGATAATAGCTTATTATCAGTGTGATAAAAAGTATTGAAATGATATAAAGATTTAAGTTTTGTAGCCGGGGGCGGTGGCACACACCTGTAATCCCAGCTGTTCAGGAGGCTGAGGCAGGAGAATGGAGAGTTCAAAGTCAGCCTCAGCAAAAGTGAGGTGCTAAGCAACTCAGACCCTGTCTCTAAATAAAATACAAAATAAGAATGGGGATGTGGCTCAGTGATTGATCGCCCCTGAGTTCAATCCTTGTTACCAGTAAATAAATAAATGAAGGAAGGAAGGAAGATTTAAATTTTTTGCAAGTGTAATAATGCATGCCTATAATCCCAGCTATTTCAG